AAAAAAAAAAAAAAAAAAAAAAAAAAAAAAAAAAAAAAAAAAAAAAATTGGTTTTTAAATGTCTAAACTTTAATAAATTCAACATTAATTAAAATATAGGAAACTGACTTAAAACTCCCTCAGACATTAAAAACCTAGTAACACATCACAATTTCCAAAGCATTTTCATGTACATTATTTTCATGTACTGTTCTCCTTCAATTGCGTGGGAACTAAAAAAAATTTTTAATAAAAGGGCAAGGTTGTATCTTGTTCACTTCTGTATCCCCAGCACCTATCCCCAGTGTTGCTCACTGCACAGGAAGTACGCCCCTAACAAATTCTGTATTTTTTTTTTTTCGTGTCCGGCAACGGATCGCAACCCTCAGTGTCACGCCCGTACCGGGCCGGGACTGGCAACGGGATCGCAAACCTCGGTGCCGTGCCCGCACCTCGCTCAGCCAGTGAGCGGGAACCGGTCTGTATGTGGGATCCGAACCCCCGGCGGGAGCGCCGCTGCGCTCCCAAGCGGCGCACTGTAGCAGTGCGCCACCGGGCCGGCCCAAATTCTGTATTTTTTGAATGAATGCACCCCAGTTTGTAGAACAGGACATGGAAGTCCAGAGAGAGAAGGGACTTGATTCAAGGTCACAACGTTATCAAAAGCAGGGCAGCAACTACACTCAGATCTCCCTTAATTCCTACAGCTCAGTGTTCCTGGCATTACCTGCTGCTATGGAAATGGCCAGCAGCACAGAAAGGTAAATCTTTGGTAGGAACAGGGTTTTGAGGGAAGAAGCAGAGAGGGAAAACAAAGGCTATTCCTGATGGATGGGTGCAGCTGTTGGAGTTAAGATTATGAATGACTGATAAAGCAAGGAGACAAAAAAAGAAGTGACACACAGGGAAGACACCAGAGAGAAAGGAACAGAAAGCAGAAAGAAGGGAACAGAAGCTGCTGAGACTTGGGGGGAATAATTAGTCATGACAAGAAAACAAAAGGTAGTGCTTCCTCACAGCACTTGTTTAAGAAAGTGACTTGGTCCCCAAATGCCTGAAGAATTGACTAGGGAGGAAAGTGGGTTCAAATTATTCAGATGCACGCCTCTATCAGGCAGACTCATAAAATGTGAGCACCAGAAGGGGCCTTGGCAGTCATCCAGGTGATTGCTTTTGCAACACAGGACTCATGGCTACTGTGCTCTTGACCCATAGTTGCAAGTCACTCCTCCATAGGCAAACTTCTGCCACTGCTAATCAAGACATTTAGAACATACAACTCTTGGGCCGGCCCAGTGGCGCACTGGATAAGTGCGCCGCTTGGGAAGCGCGGCGGCACTCCCGCCCGAGGGTTCGGATCCCACGTACAGACCGGTTCCCGCTCACTGGCTGAGCGAGGCGCGGGAGCAGCACCGAGGGTTGCAATCCCGTTGCCGGTCCCCGGTCTTTTAAAAAAAAAAAAAAAAAAAAAAAAAAAAAAAAAAAAAAAAAAAAAAAAAAAAAAAGAACATACAACTCTTTCCCAAGTCCCAGCTTAGAGAAAACCAGGTGATAAGCAACCAGTACCTCCCATGAAGACCTAGTTTTGAACATCATCATTATGGTTGACACAGTTGCTCAAAATTTCCTAGAATCTGGGCCGGCCCCGTGGCGTACTCAGGAGAGTGCAGCGCTGGGAGCGCAGCGACGCTCCCACCGCGGGTTCGGATCCTATATAGGACTGGCCGGTGTGCTCACTGGCTGGGTGCGGTGCTGGCGACACCAAGCCAAGGGTTGAGATCCTCTTACCGGTGAAAAAAAAAAAAAAAAAAAAAAAAAAAAAAAAAAAAAAAGAACATACAACTCTT